GGGGGGGGGGGGGTGCGTCTGAGAAGTGTCAAAGAAAGCTTGGCAAGCGCTCGCCAGGCACTCGCTCCGCACTCGAACCTGGGTAGTTACTCGGCAACTGCTCGGCCCTAAATACAACTCGAGCCTTGCTGAGGCCTTGCTGAGGCCTTTCTAACGCCTCGGAGCGCCTCCCCACTCGACACCCCTTTCCCCAACACACCCATGATAATAGTAATCATAATGTTATACCGTTGATGGAGGGACACTTTGATACCTGCATGACTCTATCCTCTATCCGCAGTGTGGGGGTACATGGCGTGGTGCAAGCGTTCTACGTAGATGTTTTCCGAGAGCTCCTTGACAATTTGCCTCACAACGCGGGTTGGTGTTTTTTCCCAACATCTCGAATGCAGTGGCATGCCTGAGAATCGTGGGCACCTTTTGCGGGCTATGCAAACTCCTGATCTGGTAGTTTCAGTAAATAGGGGGACCCCAATATAGACCCCAATATGCTGCAGTCCTTATTATGGGGACCCACAAAAGGTACCCCTGACCTCAGGAAACCCTCATCCCTAAATCCAACATATCCCTAGAGAAGCCTTTAGAGAACCCCCATGATCCCAAACAGGTACCCCTAATTCTAGGAAACCCTAAACCCTAATCCCTAAACCCGATGTATCCCTGTGTAAGCCCCTATAGAACCCCATGATCCCAAAAGGTAGCCCTAATTCTTATCAACCGCTAATCCCTGAACCTTATCCATATTCTTGCAACCTTCAAAGCGGGTTACGTCATTTGCGTGCAGGAAGGCCGCCAGCCTGAACGCCAGAAAGCTGTGTCTCAAAGGGTGAGCCCGTAAAGAAGGTACCTCTTTGTTGTATATATGGGGGTTACCTAGGGGATGTATTGGGGATATATTAGGATAATGGAAAAGAACATGGAAGCTACTATTTGGGGTTTAGGGTCTATGCAAAGCATTGAAACTTGCAGGGCAATCCGTAGCAAATCCTTTGTCTCCAAGACGGCCCCACAGAACGTCAAGAAAAATGACTCCAACTGCTATAGCGCAGGTCAAGCGAAACCCCTTCCATGTGAAGTTCTTCCTGTCCGTTGGCGATTGGTGCGGCAAAATGTGGATGGAAGAGCTCAAGGGCGCCAGCCCCAGGGTTTTCTTCTACAAGGATTATATACGGACTTGGGATAGTATATACGCCCACTTGACTAGCTAATGGCAAATGAAGTGGAAACCGGTGGTTCACAGAAATATGCCGGGTTCATTTTTTCCAGTTGTTAGTCAGGCGTGAAGCGAGGGAAAACATGGAAACTGCTGTATGATTTGGGGCTTATATCGGAGCTGCTAGTGGGGAGCCATTCACTACCAACAGCCAGCAAATTTGTGGGTGGCCTTCCGTGGGCCTGCAAGAAGGATGGCCATGTTTTTGCTCTGTGTTAAATTAGGGTACCTCTGGCACTGCTTGCAGCCATCAATGAACCTCCAAGAGGTGCGCTTAGAACTCGTGGAGGCCAAAGGAATGTTCCCAAGGAAAGGACCACAGGACAGGATGGCTTAGGATACATATGAGTAATAATAGTGCTATATTATTACTAGCGAATATTACAATTATATTGCTTCTTGTTATTCTTACTTACGATGATCGATTTTGCCGCAGATCTTGCATGGTCTTGAGTTGCACAAGGATCACGAACTTGCGCATTCGTGGGGTATTCTTTGAATGAAAGGGTCATATAGCTAGCTGAAAACCTTTCAGTTCGGGTGACCCAGAGCCCCCGAACCAGACCCTGAACCCTATAGTCCCCCCAAGTAGATAGAATATGGGGTATATGGGGATCTTATTACAACACACCCAAATCCATATTCTATCTACTTAAGGGGGACTATAAACCCTGCAAAGGTCCTATGCTCCAGACGCCCTACTACCCGGCCTTCATTTCAGCGGCAGCCTGGAGTCCGACAAGGGCTGGTGTTGCTGTGACGCACGCAGGGAGAGAGTTTTCCGGTTCAGGGATTTTAGTGGTTTAGAGTTTAAGGTTTAGGGGTTTAGGGTTAGGGTTTAGGGTGGGATGGTTGTTGACAGCGCTCGTGGAATGGTCCTCAGACCATGCCAGACATCCCACCATACTTAATGCAGTATGTGCAGGATTGAAGGGGTCGCCGAAGGCAGTAGTGGGTTCCTCTGAGGCGAGGCATTTTGATGACGGTTTTGACAGGCATTTGAAGGGATGCCAGGGGTGTTTATGTGGGAGTTTAGCTCAGGTTCTGGAATCCTCATTTTGTGATTCCCGTAAGTGAGTAGGTATCACCAATCAAACTGCAGGCAGTTGGAGATACAAGGAATGGTTTCAGGGTTCAGGATCCGGGGTTTGGGGCTTCCTGGGGCTAGAGTTTTGAGGCTTTGGGCTGGAAGGGGCTCAGATTTGAGCAACTACTGCTCACACGTCAATGTCGTTCACCTCTTGTTTTCTGTCCAGCAAGCATGCACAACTCTTCATGAAATAGAAATGCCATAGCAGTTCCGCCCATTCTTCGTACTACAAACGCTTGGCGACGAAAAAAGTGCGCAAATGACTCCAGTGGAGTTCTTCCCCACTCTTCATGCTTGCCAGTTCCCTAGCCATCGCTGACATGTCGGGTATGTACACTTCCTGCCTGTGTATGCCTGCAGACATAGCATCCAGAGTTCTTGAGCATCTTGAGGTGCCCGCTCATCTTCTGTGCTTCTTGAGACCCAAGTCTCAAGCTCCAAATCCTGCAAAAAGTTACTTACATTTGGCCACTTATCCCCTGAAGATCCCTTAGCCCTAGACCCTAGGATCTCTCACAATAGTGCCTACAACCCATGCCCTTATTCTCTCTTACAGGCAGCAGATAGTAGAGCCGACCCTCAAACCCTCAACTCCAAGCCTTAAGATAGGAGGGCCGAAATCCTTTCGGTTTAGAGCTTAGGGTTCAGGATTTGTTGGACAGTGAACTGTATAGGATTATCGGGGGACAACATTGGTACTTATTTCGGCTTCTCACATTTTCCAGGTCTTCTTCCTCGCCCGACAAGACGGTCGCCTGGATGTCTGGGATTACTTCTACAGAATGAATGAGGCTCCACTTCGGCGCTTTCATGTCTGGATCTATAGATTTAGGGTTTTTCGGGGTTATAGGGTAGAATCGCATCAATTTGTAAAGCGCTCTATCAGTTTTACGGCTTCAGTTTGGGGTTATGAGTTCCAGGGTGAAGAGATTTCTCAAAATTGTGTTGTCTTTTCGGAAGGGGGCTAGTGTACCCTGTGAAACCACAGACCCTGTTAGTAGTTTGGATTATGTGCTTTTCAGTGCCTCGTGCCGCGACCACTTGATATGAACTTAAGACCCTGAAGGTTTAGGCGCTAAACCCTAAACCCTAAACCCAATCATCCTATACTTCAACGAAGCATATGCTAAGATTTGGGTACTGCTCCCCCTTAGTAACAGTTGGATAATAAATATAGTATGGCTATATATAGCCCTTAATAGGACCCCTAATATAGACTGTTACTGGGTGGGGGCAGTACCCAAGCTAAGATAGTCGTGGTACCAAACCCCAAGTGCTCAATTATTCACTATTTGGACCGTTTGGGAAACACCCTCATGTCTAGGTCCAGGCCCAAACGTGGCCACCACAGGTCATAGTTGATTAGGCTGGATTCTTCTTCGTTCCGCCCTTCTAGGTTCATGGGTAAGTGAGCAGATGCTTTGGGGTGAGTTTCGACTGTGGCAATCTCATTCTACAGCCTGCTTAGTACTGCTGGAAGACACCTTGAACTCCACATATCGGATGATATCATTGCATTTCATTTCTATCATGCCAGACCATCTGTACACATAAACATGTATACACATGTTACATACATTCATACACACATACATGGGTGGTTGTCAAAATTATGGTCCCTTTTTGGGTACAGGTGCCGTATCATAATAGGGCACCCGAATCACTTCCGAGCGGTGCAGGTAGCCTTGACGCAGCAAGTCTCAGACCGCGCACTGACCTCGCTCAACATCCAGGGGCAGGCCCGTGTGACACGCCTTTTTTTGGGCTGTAGGGTTTTCTATGGGGGCTTCATTAATCTTATAAACTCCCCGTGAGGACCCCCTAATAGATGTTCATCATATCCCTGTAATCCTTACTGCAGGGCTTTTTGAGAAAGTCCCACATTGTGGTGGTGTCCCAAGGGTGTGCGGTGTTCATGTTACGCGGAGTTCCTGATGGGTCAGCATTAGCACTGCAGTCATGCTGACATGAAATTGGGTTGTACTGCGCACTTGTCATCAACCCTTTACCCGCCGTCATGACATTTCAAATGGTAGTTTGATTCTGTGCTTTCCAGAACAGCGAAGATCTTTTTGGAGGAGTCTTTACAACCAGAATTCTGGCACGTGGGCACATATAAGGAGCGCGCGATGTATTCTCTTAGGATAACATCAATCCCTAAGCCTCCACCGTAGCTCCTATATAGCCCCTGAAAAACGGACGATGCCGACCTGCCCCGAGGGCCGTCTGGCGGCTGTGGGAGACGCCGGAGGTTGGGCCGGCAGTCATTCTCTTTTTTCATTTGAGCTAGGGGTGTATTTAGGGGACTACTATGGGTATCAAGGGTGATACTAGCAGTTTAGACTGATATTATTTGTAGTATGACTTACTACTACCATTATGACTGTTATTGTTTTTTTTTCATTGCTGCGACACTATCAGGCAGTCCTATTGGTGTTACTACTACTGTGGCTGTTACTGTCGCTAGTACCTTCAGCACTAAGATTTCAAACTGTCGTTTTGGACCTAAGCTGAAGGCCTCAAGTGATCAGGCTTCTGTGATATGGAGGTTCGGGGTTTTGGGTGGAGTGCCTTGGGTTGGGTGTAGGGTTTACTTACTGGGAATTAGTAGGGAATAAGGGGATATAATCCCCATAGAACCTCTATATACTGAAACCCCATTATTCCCCACTACACCTCCAGTAAGTCTGGGACCGTTTAGGAACTTTTGGCTTGTGGTTTGGCGGAGTAGTGTTGGGCCATCAGGGATTTGGGAGCAAGTTGATTGTAACACATATTGGTGCATACAAAGCACTACAGAAAATACACAAAACTGATCGAACAGGGTGTTACCTCTTTTTTTCCGCTCCGGTTTGTGGTCGATGGTAGTTGGTGAGCGCAGTAGCCGAGTCATACCACTAGTAACAGCTGGGAGACCACTTTTTTGTCTACAGCTTATGATGTGCAGTGATCCTCGAGGTGTCTGTATTGGGACGCTGGCCTCTGCGTCAACACAGTCCCCCCCTCGTAGAGCCAACAGGTTGGGGTAAAGTCTTCCTAAGCCTGGTCTCTGCAAGGATATGCCTGCATGGTGCTACTGGATCTTGTCCTAGGTGCCTATACAAGCCCCACACGCCCATAGACCGTCGAACAAAATTTTGGCACAGCAGCACCATCTGATGAACAACCCGTACTTGTACCAGCGATGGGTGCAGATCATGAAACCATGAGATGAATACTGCGGCTAGCTTCGGTTCACGGCGTACTTGCGCCTACTCTTGGCCTTATCCTCCTGGAATACCTGCCAAGTCAAAGCGCCGACATAGAATGTGAGTAAGGTTTAGCGTATTGGGAAAGGCATGTAGAAACAGGTAGTTGGAGGGCTAACAGACAAGGTCTCCTTCTCGGGGCCTAAGCCCTAAATGGTAGTTTCCATCACTAGGGGGCCGGACCCCAAAATGCAATGAACGTTGTTATGGCGAGAAACCTCTCAGATCTCCCAGCAGAAATCCAAGCCCGAAGCTCTGAGCACCTGGCCGAAGGCGTCATCACCTTGCTCCAGCTCTGCGACGGTCTTGTAGATCCAGGCTGCAAAACGTTCAAGATGTCAGAAGCCGTTTCAATGTGACAGCTGCTAGAAAGATTCGAAGAGGAGTACAGGGATGATGGTTTACGATTTGCCTAAGTCCGGGTTGAAAAGGGTTGAGGAACACAGATCATTTGGGAATGTTGGAATGGGGGAAATTTCCGTGCACCGCAGAAACGATTTCAGGAATCCAATCCTGCTTGGTGTTAAAGGCATTCAAAGGTAAGTTACCATAATGTTTTGCTGTCCATCGTGCCCCCTATCGGCAACCCAGCAACCTGAACCCTAGAGGTCCGAACGAGAAGAACTTGATCGGCATGCTCTTCGATCGCGAGACGAAGCGCGAGAAGAGTCTGGAGCAGATCAAGAAACAGGGCGGAGCGGTGAAGAAGGCGCCTGTGCTGTAGCGGAACTGGGGTAACCGATGTACCCACAAGCATGTTTTGTAGCCAGTATTTTTTACCTTTAGACTTTTACGGCGTAGGGTAGTGCGCAGGCATAGGATTTGTAAGCTTTTTGTTTGACCTGGTGTGCGGGCAGAGCTATCTGGGGGGGACAGGTCCATGCGTCAGGAACATGTGGAACACATTTTGGGCAACCCTAAACTGCCCAAGGCAAGTTAAGCTTGGATAGGAAAAGAGTACCCGCAATAACATCTCTCGCCAGATGTTTACTGATGAATATCTCCCCGCTTGGCATACCCGAATCTAGTGGGAACGGGGGGCGCATCATCACGGAAGGTGGGCATTTGGAGGGCTATGGGGGCGTAGTAAGTAGGTGAGGAATGCCAATAGTTGGGATTATTATGTGGTTTATAGGGGTCATTAAGAAGAGGGAGAAGGTGCCCTGGCCGGAGATTCCATTCAGAAGACAGCTTCAGATGTAGTCTTACGGCAGTACTTGTGTGCGTTTATGTCCTTAGTATGGCTTCTGAAGTAGCGCGGGCCTCAAAGTAAAACTTACCCCCGAACCCTAAAGCCTCAACTCCTGCGCCCTAATCAAAAAAAACCTTCGGGAAGGCTTAAGAGTAGTAGGGTAGAGTCTTTCCCCTCCAGCTGCCAGAGGCAGGGAGCATCAGCGGAGATCCCCGTATATCGCCTTATAAATTGTGAGCATTCAGCAGGTAAGAACACCAAGAAGGGACCATGCCGTCCAGGCGTCCCTTCGTGGGTTGAACCCTACCTGGAGTCGGGGGGACTCAGTGGGTAGGTTAGTAACCCTTTTAAGCCATATGATAATCCCAATTATCCCCATTATTAACTACCTACTTATTAAATCCCCGTGACCGTCCAGCCCTAAACCTTAAACCTTTCATAATATACGTATACGTAGCAGCTTCAATTTTCTTTTCGGATTATTCCTACGTTCCCATGAGAGCCTACTTACTGAGCCCCCGTGATTACCCAAGAAACCTCAACTTGAACTGACAGGAGGACAAGGATGGGGCCGGTGGCATGACCATCGACAAGACGAAGTACCAGGAACGGGAGAAGGCGTTCTTCACGGAGCCTTCGGCAGATTAAGCTTATTCGGTAGTTTCCCAAAGTAAGGGTACCCCAATATAGACCCCAGTATACTATAGTCCTTGGTATGGTGACACCAAAGAGTTACCTCTGATTTTAGGAAACTCCCATTTGTACTTCTTGCGGGCAGGGGGGGGTTACTTTATAGGCTATTAGGGTTTGTTGTCTTGGTAGGTATGCAGGATGAACCCTTCGACGCTTATCTGGCAGTGTTTCGCTTTGTTGTGTTTGGCTAGGAAGCATCCCGAGAGTGTTAAGTGGCCCATGTGGTCCCTGAAAGCGCGCATCGCGCATCGAGCATGCGACTAGTTGGGGACGTGTGTTCTTCAGCTGTTTTTTACCAAAGCGGTGTCCTCATAAAGCCCATGGAGGGGACTAAGACCCTCTTTTCTTCTCTACCTCAAAAGAGAACTATGAAGTTTCCATGGTCACCGGGCCACCCTCTCTCGAGAAACTCTATGCTACCAAGGAGCTCAACATGACCGGCGACGACCTGGGCACCACCCTCCCAGCACGCTAAGATGTGCAGGGGCCCATGGTACCTGAATCTTTCTATAAGAAGGCTTTCCTTCGGTAGAACAAACATATTTTGGTGTTCTTAAGCGTAGTCAACTGTTAAGGATGAAGGAGTAGTTGCTTCTTCTCTACCTCTCAGTAGCTGACCAAAGGCCAGGATTATAGCTTAATTCTAATAATAGCAAAACTAATAGTACTATTATTACTATTATGAATTCTATTTGTGGTTTCTAGCTTAATTACAATAAAATAGTAATACTAATAGTACTATTCTTACTACTATTAATTCTATTTATGGTTTAGCGATCCAGGTAAGCTGGCTGAGGGAGTGGAAGGACTGACTGCCCGTTTTTCCTGCGTGAGGCGCCGGGTGTGCAAGGTTGTGTATAGCTGCTTGGACCTTGCCCCCTCAGTGCGCCGCAACGTCTCACTTGTGCTTTAATCCTGAATTCTATGCCGAGGGCATGTCCGCAGGTACTTCGGACCATGTCTCACCCTGAGCTACAAGCCGGCTCTTGGTACGATCTCTGCGGGAGGAGCCTTCCAAAAACACAGCCCGGCGTGGCTTTGGATTACAGAGGACTGCTTGGCGAATGCTTGGCATGTCAATGTTGCAGGGCATTCTTTAGCTGCGATGGTAAGTCCCGCCTTCTTAGATGAGATGCTGCAGCACTTGCCGGCGGGTAACCCCCTCCCCTAGTATGAAAACCCCGCCCCGCCTGACTCTGAATGTTGTCATGTATGAGGGGGATATATTAAATATGCGACATGCGTAGATCTATACTTACTAATGTGTAAATGTAGGATTTGTAGATAGACACACACAGGGCATTGTGTTTATGTGTATAATGTACTGTTGATATTTCAGATCGTGCATGACTCTAGAATTGAGGCTGTGATACAAGATTTCCCAAGGTATAAGGTACTTTGATTGATGCAGGATTGTTGGTATCCACCGTGTGTGTACATACATATTTGTATATAGAAACCCGCTAATTATACTGCGCGTGTTCCTGTGTATATATATATATACGTGTATAAACAAATGGATGCATACATATATATATATATATATGTATGTATACACGTGTGCGACTTGTGCCGTATGTCTACACGGCTATGTATGCACATGTACATACTATAAAGTTATGAGCAAAGCAGCGCCGACAAAGGCTGCACTGCCGGTTCTTGGCAGCTGGCACGACGAGACCTGAACTGCGTCCTCCAGGATAGGGCTAACAAGGGGCCTAAATAATTACCGATATTATGGCTCTATATTTTTGATATAGTTATGGTCTATGGTACCTCAAATGGACATCAAAATGAGATTGGTCTTTATGTGTCGAGGCTTAAATGATTACCAGCACTGTAGTTCCACGTCCCTTGTATCATTGTATTATAGGGCATCTCAAAAAGACCTCAACATGATGTTGGTGCTTGTTTCAAATTCTGCAGTGGAGGATTAATTTGCAAGCTATGACGACCTCACCCCGAGTGGTTGTTTTCATAAAAAAACGTTCCAGCTTGGCCGAACCAGGTGCTGAAATTCAAAGTGGCCAGGTTGCAAGGGGTTCCATCTCGCTACCTACCTGCGGGTTCATTTGCCTACGTAGGGGATACAGGAGATCCTGGGCAGATATAGTTTCATGCTGGCTGTTTACATGTGGTAGCACGGGCAGCTGCGCTACCCTCACTAGACCTCGCCTCTAAAACTGGGTAATTGCCGGCGCCAATGACGTCTTAACACACTATCCCATGGAGGTGGTTATGAAAAGATAGAGGCCCTAAAGCCCGAAGGTTTCAGAAGCAGCTAAACTGCCGCCCTGCAAGCCTCTAAGGTGCCTGCACGCTTTAGGACAGCCTACCCAAAGCCAAGGAGCCTCCAAAGGCTTGGACGTGACTTGCCATACTCATCAGCTTTGACGCAAAAGACTTGCGGCCCCCGGTTTTGCACGAGCCGCCTGGGATGTGAACATCACGTCGTGCTCTTTGACCCGTTCTTCAGCGGCTTCAGCAACCCAGTTGTCCCCGTTGGCGACCTCTTCCAGGATAACAGACTCACCAGCACCTCTCAGAGGGTTGTCGGGCCCAGAAGAAACTCAAGGCAGGTCCTGTCAGGCCAGCATGCATCATAGAACGAAATCCTTCTTGCAGGCTTCTTTGGCGTGCACACGCACACGTTTTCCGCTAGCATTGCTGCCAGCCGTCGTCCAAACTCTCAGAACCAAGCCCCACATTGCCTGAACTCAGAGGAGCCACGGGATGTGTTGACTGCTATGCATGGGTGTGAGCGACCTGGGTGTGCCCCGATACCAGCAAACCCCTCATGACGTGATCCGACCGTACACCTCCGGCCCCAGACTGCCCTAAACCCCAAGCCCAAATCGTAGTTTCCATAAATGGGGCAACCCAAACGTAGCAACCCCCCACATGTTGTAACCCCAGCAGGGGGATCCCTATTTCTTGGAAAGCCCCCGAATCCTAATCCCAGAGCCCTGGCGTGAGCCCTGGCGTTGCGCGAAGGACCTTGAGGCGGCTTGCTCCGGGTTCGCGGCTGTGGGTTCTTCAGCGTTCAGGGTTTAGGTTGGCGATTTGGGAGGGACACTTCATTCCATAAATTTTGTTTAGTCACTACTTTGCCACACATTCACAGGTAGTCGTTGCTTTACCCAACAGCTACAAGGGTCCCCATGAAAAGCCTCTCCTCAAGCCACCCACAAATTGGTTCTCGGTGCCCTGTTTTTTGACCCATGTTTACCGTTGGTGAGTAGGGAATGCAGGCATGGAAAAGAGCATGGAGATTGTTGTATCATTGACGGGACTGGAAAAGAAGGCGGAAGTGACTCATGCTGTTTTGGGGTTGAGGGTGGTTAGGGCATGGAAAAGACAAGAGGGATCCGCTCCTCCATTCCCTACTGATCACCAGTAAGCGAAGGACCCAATAGCTCATCCGCTCGCCCCCTACCGCTAGCAATATGTTAGTTCAGACAACCTTCTTTATTAATCCCCTTCGTGATGCATCCCCCCACCCCCAAAGCTGTAAATAATTTTCTCTCATGTTACCTTGGTACTATATGAAGAATGTTTAGGACTAGCTGTATGCTTATTTTTAATGTGGGGAGAGGGGCTTGTATGGGTGCGCAAGAGTAACAGAGTACCATGCAGTGGTGATACTAGGGGTATTTTGTGGTTCAGCAGCTTTCAGGGCGGGTTTATTGGGTTGCCGCTAAACAGCTTCAGACAAGTTACCATAATCAACGAGCTCGAGTCCTAGCCTATCCAGTTTGTTGTGCAGTGTGTTACGTGGATTTCGGACTCTTGAGGAGACCGGTGCGAACAAGCAAAGGCTAAATGCAGAATCCTCGGACAACAGGTAGGTAAACGTGGCAGTGAGCCTCAATAGTTACAGGCTCTCCACTTCTGACATTGGAAAGCACTTGGGAGGGAGCAGCTCCACCTGCAGTGAGAAGAAGGATGCCCACAGTTCATGTATGTATCCATACGTCATGTTTAACCGGGTCCCAGACCCTTGGGAGACTGTGTATGAAGCACGCATGGTTGCAAAGCTGACATGGTAGTTTGCGGCGGAGGGACCTGATCGGAAAGAGGCACCGTGTGTGATTCATATTCCGATATTCAGGGGCTGCTTTGCAATCCAAATCAAGGAGTTGAAGTTGGGTCTCATCTGCGTGTAACCTCCAAACAGGGGGTTACATAGGGAATGACATCGGAAAGTAATAGAGGGCTTAGAAAGGGGGATACTAGGAGTTTAGATTATAGCTCATTTAGCAAATATTTCTGCAATCCCCAAACCCTAAGCCCTCACCTGAGAATCGGGAAATGAATTGAAGGGCCTATGAGGAGCAGGCACTGCCTTTTGGCCCATTCTGGCTTTGCCAGAATTCTTGCAGATTTATACTGTTTAAGGTTTACGGTCTAGGGCTTAGGGTTTAGGGTTTAGAGTTTTTGCTTGATACTGAAAGAGCTAGGGGTCACTCCTCCCTTGCAGTGGCCTTACGGTAGGCGTCCTCAAAAGAATTTCATAAAGGGGCTATTGTAAGTGTAACGCTGGTTTCTTGTTGTGGGAATTGTTTCAGAGTGGGGGAGCTACCCAACTGAAAACTGAAAACCGTGCATGAGCTTGGTATACGATCACGCCATTATTCCAAGTTCTACAGTACCTAGGGCCATGCTGGGTGTTAAGTTCTTTCATGCACTGATCTTTTCGGCCTTCCTTGTTTCAGGATTCAATGTTTGGCATTTGGGTCAGCATTGAACGAGTTTATGCAAGAGATCATTCCCAGCTTCCAGCATTCCTTTGTGCACGACCTTGCTAAGGCAGCTTTGCAGTGGGTTCGCGGTATCAGTTGAAACTTTATCACATAAATTGTTGCTGAAGGGGTCGTCTGTAAGCACGTGGTCCTTCTACCCATGACTAGCTGAAAGCACAAAATGCCTTTATGGAGTCATTCTGGCATACTCCAAGCCATTGCAGGAGACTCCACACAAACCAGCCTAAAAGGGCCGTCATTTGCATCTAGGAAGCATCCCCAGATCCTTATCTCCTTGGAGCAGGGCTTACGCGACAAAATGCTAAACCCTACCCTAAGCCCTTAGCTGCTGCGCCAGCTCAAACACAGGCAATGTTGCGAAAGATTCGGGTTGTTGGCCCTAGTTACATGTGCAGCTGCAGAAACTTCAAGTACAACCTTTGTTTTGGAAAGCTGGTCCTCCTTGATAAATGCGAGTCTTGAGCCTATCGCGGGGGGGTAGAATCCTACCTAGACTGCGGCGGAGGCTACTCGTAAATTCTCCTTGTGGAAGGTTTCTTTCGACAAATAAAGGCACATTGATTTGACCACTGTCGGTAAAGCACTATTGCGCAAAGCTCCGGTTGCTGGATTTCGCTATTTCAAGGCAAGCCAGAAAAGGACAGCCCTAGCTTTCGAGAAGGCAGCCAAGTCCCAGACCCTCCGCAACCCTGCACCCCAAAACCTTAGCTGG